AGAATGCTTACAAGAGATTTGGGCTAAATAAGTTAAAAAAATTTATTTTATAGTCCAAATATATTAGCATGGTTATAAGTTTGTATCATTTGGACTTGGCCCAAATTAAACCCATTTACACGTTTGGGCTGGTCCTAACCCTATTTGAGACCATATGAGAATCATAAATATGAAAAATGTTAGTATGACATCCTAATACTTAAAATTAGACCCCAAAGGTTATAAAAAGTAAAATAAATATGATATTTTTTTAATATTTTTTTTTAATGGACTACGTAAACGACTACCCACTTTTTACGATGTCATTATAAAAATTAATTCTCGATTGGGAACGACTAAATTACACTTAAGTGGTTCATTCAGATTTTAGTAGATCACTAAACTTCTATCTTATCTTCAAATCACAAGGTAGTCATAAAATCACTAAGTGGCCCATTATGTTGTCTAGTTTACAAAACATTTGAATCACAAAAAACTACTCTATATAATTTGAACTTAGCTAATTAGGACATTGTAAGCAATAAGTGATGTACTATTAAAATAGGACAAGTGTATACGTTATCTATGGTTGAATCCTAATGATAATTTATATAGTGTGTTATGTATGACCAACACCATATGTATTTGCAGTTAATTAAAATATGAGTAGTGATACACATATGGAAAAATTACAAGAAAAACTTACAAAGAATGAGTTGTTAATCATTTAAATTATGTCCTAACTATATATGCTTAAATCTCAAATAAAAAGTGTTAAAAATGAATGGATATAATCAATTCCGTACCATTTTTTCTTGTTGAGATAAACTATATAAGATTCAATTTCATTATTGGCAGAATACTGTCTTTTGATCTTAATGTTTAGGTAGCATTTTATTTAATAGTATATGAAAATCATGATATTGTACTTTAATAAAAATCAAAGTTAATATCATGAGTAGTAATTGCACCCAAATGTGTCAAATTGCTGGAGATTCGCGAAATGAAGTGTCACGGTATTAATGAGATTTTTTGATCTAAAATATCAAAGCAAATAAAAAAAATTGGGAAAAGACTGATTTTCGTTGGAGGGAAAACTTGGTGCCCAAAAAGGGAAAAATTGGGATTGGAGGGAACCAAACTTTGTTAGAAAAGAAAAAGAGGGAAAAAGACACGCTGAAACCAAAAAAAAAAGAAAAGATAGCAAAAACATCCTTATCTCTTTAGACTCTTATCAACGTATTTTCAGTCTCTCACTTCCTAATCCCTAAAGTCTCTCTGGCCAATTCCATCGCCGTTCGCCGATGTTCGATCCTCCTATTCCCTGTCAACCCTATTGTTCCGTATTTTTCAAAGTCACCCGGTAACTGACCCAGATCTGCTTTCGATCTCTCCGATGTCCCCTCGTTGACTCACATATCCCAGCCGGTATCTAATCCATCCGTAGGAGACACCAACACTGATTGAAGGATTAAATCAAGGAGTTTCAGAGTTCCGGTAAGATTAAGCCAACTCTAACTATTCACATTTGAGGAAAAAGAGTGGAACTCATCACTTTGGTTGCATATATATTCCATCTTTGTTTATTTACTGTAATCTAGTGAGTTAAATGCTTTTAAGCATGTTTGGCAAATGAAATTTGCACCTTTAGCTTTTCTTTCAGCCCAAAACGAGCTGCTCACATAAACAATACTTTAAGCTTTAGTTCTCTTTTAGAACATGAAGTTTTACCTCAAAGTATCAAGCCTTTGTTTAATAGTACCGGGCTGCATTTTTGTTGTTCTTGAAGTATGAATTGGTTGCCAATGAGTTTTTCAAGTTAATTAGTTCTTGAAATACGTTGGGTAGCTTTCAGCATGATTTCAAAAAAGATATCTGACTTCTATTTCTGCCTGTTTCTTCTATTATTTGCTGGAAAATCTGCATTTCCAGCCCTGAGTGGTCCTCTTCAGTGCAGTTTTTCACCTTATTACTGTCAGAATTTATAATCCTCTTCTGAAGAGGAGTTGTAGATCGTTTTTCTAGCTTCGCAACAGTATAAAGAACATAAAAAAACAAAGCTATCTGTCTCAGGTTATGCTCTCTGAAAGTGAGCCGCTTCTTGATGAAGTATTGCTGATTTTCTCTACAAATTAAACTTGTTGCTTGTATTGATGAAACTCTACACCTGCCAATTGTCTCTGTTTCAAAGTTCAGCTATCACTTGTCCTTTTGCCCCTCTTAAAGTTTTCCTTTATCTTATAGGATAAATATATAAAGCTGTAGAAAGCTAGATTACTCTTCAACTCAAATTTGCATTGAAGAACCCATGATCTTATTAGTGGAAAAGTGCAACAAGATTTCTTGCTGCTAAACAAATTGCAGATGATGATGATGAATGTTTTAAATCCTTTACCTTGTAACTATTTCTCTTCAGCAATAATGGTTACCTAAATGCTTTGCTAATCATAAGTAATTTTTAGGCAATTGTTGTACTCGGTCCATGTACATTGCTTGAGCTGTTGGGGAAATCTTGCTTGCGCATCCGTTGCATCAAGTTTCACCTTCTAGTTTCAAAGTTTGTCCTAGAAAATTCTTTAACTTTTCTTTTTTTTTTTGGTTTTCTAGGGATTGAAATTTTACAACAACAGATTCCTTGTTTTCTTTTGCAAGATTATATTCCCTGAATATTTGATAAGTTTTGGCCTTTTGGGTTAATTCTGTTGTGGATGTCCATGTTGCGAATTGGTATTGCGGGATACTGCAGGTTTTTTTTCTTACAGCATGTATAACGACCTATTTTAGTTTCTCAATGAGAAGAAGCCTGGTTCTTGGTAATTTGAATTTTCTAATAATCAATCATTCATAATCTTCTAGGCCATGAAGATTATAGCAGATTGAGGCATCTTAGTTACATGGATGCTGACATGTATTGGACTTCTCTTTGATCTGTCGGCCAAGTTGTGAAAGTGTTCTAAACAAGGTAGCTATCTCTTAGAGTTAATTGCTTATTTTCCAGTTGTTTCGAGGTAGTTGGTTCTCTTGGGTTTGTATTCCTCTAATTATGCCACAAAGATATGTACATCAAATAAACCTGCCTTGATTTGTTGCCTTTATATATTATTTGAAAGTTGGAGCATGTTGCAGTGCCTTTTAAATTAAGTTCATGTTTTTGTTAATGAACTTTTTGCGTTTTGATTATTGTGTGGTTAATTATAATTTTTGGATTTTTGGGCATCATTTGTAGGAGCTTTTCTGTGTTGTTTTGATGTTGCAATTGATTCTAGTGTTAAAAGACTCTGCTCTATTGGCCATACTTTGCTCTGTTAGTCATAGAACTTGTTTTTTCTAGTGTTGTTAGAACTCTTGACGTATGGCCCATGGGAGCTATATTAGTCTTCAAAAACTCAATGACATACCAATGAGTTCACGCAGGTATGGCTACAAGAAACAAATGGTATCAATCGAATCTGAAAATGAGAGACTGGATGATGCTGAATAATAGAGAAACAAAGAGTTGATGAAGCTGAAAGAGTCCAGCAATAGTCGAGGAGATCAATGAGCAAAAGGATCAGTTTAATGATAAAATGAAAAGCTCAAAGTTTGAAAAGGAGAAGTTAACAGTAGCAAGGATTAATCAAGAAACTTAGAGAATCTCAAATGCAATCAAAATGTGAAGTTTGAATCATTGGAGAATCAAGTTGATCATCTTACGAGGCTCTTGAAGAAAGTAAGTCTACACATACTAAATTTGTTGAAGTAACAGTGGCATTATCATATTCCTATCCCGATTGATTTCAGTTTCACACAAAGTATTGGCATTATCTTCTTCCTATCTTGCTTGCTTTCAGTTTCATTATACTCACATTACGTATGGAGAATACTTTCTAGGAGTCAGCGTATTTCTAGCGATTTGATATACTATATCGGTGCTATTATGTAAAGTTTTTGTTGGTAGGTTAACAATATATTTTTGAAATGACTTTGCAGTAACTTTGTAGAGGATGTGAAGGATGAAGCGTTACAAGGCGGCACCTTGCTACACGGTTACGATGCTTTTTGATGTAGTATTAGTCTTTGATGACCTCGTGCAAAATGAGTTATTTGGTAATGTTAGTGCACTTTGAGATATCAATTCTAGGTACATGTTCTATGATAGATACGTACCGTTATGAATATCATTGTATGAGTACCTTAGTTCAATATTTTTTTAGTGAGTTGGAGTTTTATAGATTATGTAAAGTACATTAAATATAATGGTTTAAAAGGCATGTATTTACATTTTGTTTTCAATAATTATTCAAATTTATTTGACCAATAATTAAAAGAAAGGTATTATATATTAAATAATTATTAATTTGACCAATAGTTTTCATTATTAAAATTGACAAACAAAAGTTGTCATTGTAAAAATGGACTCTTAATTACTATTGACGACAACATCCCGTTTGACTATATAATTTATTTTGACAATCCCTAATGTTATTCCACTGTATATTGACCACATAGGGTTTCTATTGACCAAATCTTAATAACGATAAAAGTTGTCAAAGTTTTGTTTGACGACTTGTTTCTCGTTACTATAGAAGGGGTATTATTGACGACCCCAAGAATGTCGTCAATAAGAAGCTTTAGTAACAGATCTATATCGACGACTCTTTGACGACCCATTTGTCGTCAATATATGGCTTCAGTAACGGCGTTTTCAGTTTTATTGACGATTTGACCTGGTTATTAAATCTAAGTTTTCTTGTAGTGTTAGCCGACACAAAAATAAATCTTACTATCTTTTATAATTACAATAGATTCACAAGATATTTATCAATTCTTTGTTTTCGAATCGTATCTTACGGTACTTAATGCGTTTCATACAATACTAAAATCTATGTCCTCAACCTATCCTAATATATTCCCTCCGATCCTTATTATAAGGTATTTTGATTTCGTATTAAGTTTAACCGACGATATCTTTTTAATTGGAATAAAACCTTAAAAATATTTCATAATAATTAGGAGAACACAACGAATGTAAAAAATAATAAGGATGTTAAATTGTCTTATAATAAGGATCAGAGAGAGTAACAAATAATTGATGTTAAAACTATTTTCTTTTCAGGCTAATTTTGAAAAGTTTGAACAAAAGTTGTATTGGAGTATAAGAACAGCACTTATGTCTCATAATTTCTACGTTCTGTTAAAATAGCAGTTATTTTATAATGGAAAGAGTACTATCCTGATGAGTGAAATTTTCCCAAAACAAATGATTTTAGCCAACAAAAAAAAGTATGAGGAAGGGTAGATGACATTCCCGACAAAATGGGTGCAAAAAACTAGTGTGCCTTTCCGCAATGAGCTTTTATGCTTACATTCAATGGCGTTAGTCAGCAGCGGTTACAGCTGTAAGCACAATGATTCTTTTCTAGAGGGAAAAGAAAAATTATAAAATTCAAGCAAGTTGCTCAATGTACTCCTCCACGGTAGTGTACTGGACCTCCGGATAAAGCTCAGAAGCCTCCGCACCAAAAGATGGCTCAATCTCAAAGTTGATTGTGTCACCCTTTACCAGAATTGCATGGTTGATTGCTAATATGAGATTCACAGGAAATGCTGCCTCTGCATAATTAAGAAATGTATGTCTCATATCAGAAAGCAAGTTTGAATTCAGTGCAGAAATTTTTTTAACTCAATGTACTTCCTCCGAGCCTAATTATAATGCACAGATTTAAACAAATTTTAGCGATGATTTACGCCTTATAATTAAGACCAGAGGGAGTATTTGTTAATGACATAGCTAGCTCAGTTCCTAGACCTCGAATTTGTGCGAGAAGTTGGTCCTCGGGGACATATTCTTTCTCCAGAGTTCTGCCAATCTTCTTCTCCCAGATTACCACGATCTCATTGAATGACACGATGTTTTTGGGAGGCCTGATGTACACAATCTTGTTAAGTGTCCTGGGATCATCCACAGTTTTGATGGTAAATGTAGCAATGTCACGTTCTTGGTTGAAAACGGCTTTGACATTTCCATCTCCCAAGATGACAACTTTATCGCGGGGTGGAGCAATGGCTCCTGGCTGGATCAGAGTTGGTAGAAAATAACCTGCAAAAGCGTTTGATACAATATAGGTGTGGGGTATTCCTGCGGCTTCAATTGATCTTCGAAATTGTGCGTTTCCATCAAATGTAGATTTGATTGGCTCAACCGCATGGTGCCGATCCATATCAATCCCGAACTCAGAAGGGTAGAATTTCTGGTCAAGAAAACATGTGTTTGAGCCTTTGAGGATATATGAATGTTCACCAACTGATCAATCAGTTGAAAAGGAAAAAACAACTGAAAAAAAATTCAGACCTTAACATTCCCAGCTTCTTTGATGGCATCAAGAATCTTGGTCTGATCATTCAACTGTTGGTGGCCTACAGTTGAAATCACCACATCCACCTCTTTTATGGCTTTCACCAAGCTCCCATGATCAAACAAGTCACCCTTCAGCACCAAACAGAAAAATACCCAAAATCAAAAAAACTATAATCCAATTACTCCTAAAAAGAAAAACTGAATATATATATATAATACATGATGAACAAAATAAAATGACTCACATAAACCAAAGTGACCCCAGAAGTTTTGAAGGTTTCGACCAGATTTGCTTTAACAGGATCAGAAGAAACGGTGCTTTCCCTCACCAGAACAAAGGTTGGATGGCCTTCTTTCAAGCTGGCCTCCACTACGTACCTGCCAATGGACCCTGTTCCACCGATTATCAAAATCTTGCTTTTCTCAGCCATTCTTTCCTGTTTATATTTTTTTGTTTTTTTCCCTTTTCCCGGGGATCTTCAAATTGTCTTAAAAACGGGGGTTGACAAAAGAGTTAAACTCAATTAAATCTGTGATTTAAAACAATGCTGCAGCAGAGAAGGTTTGACGCCATTGATCGAGTCTATATATAGTACTTTAAATGTTACTCCCTCTATCCCAATAAATTATCCCTCTTGTCTGTATTTATCTGTATGTACCACCTTCTGTACTAATTATTATAGAAGTCTAGGGAGTTCCACCTAAAAAACAATTGGTTATGAGAGGAATAACGCATTGAGTTTATATATATTAATACTCAGAGTCTCACAATACTATGTGGGATTGAGACTCTTTAATAATTATAAGATATAAATTAACAATTGTGTCCAATAATTATGACTGAATGGAATATCATTTTCTTGGTTTTAGGTTGTAGTTATCGAAGAATGGTTTTTTGGTAATATGAAACACGTGAACCATAAAATTATATGGACCCATTGTTTCGTCTAAATTTTCTAGCCTCTTGGAGGAATAAGGGTGTTACTATTTACAATTATAAAAATTACTCATTTGCAGTCGTTAAGATAACCCCTGACAACTACCAATTCCTTCCTTTCTCCTCAAACTATCAAATTACTCCTCTTCTACAACTCCCAAAGAAAAAACCAAAAAATCAAAATATCAAACTATGATCTACAACATTTTGGATTTACTACAAGAAATATGACCTTTGGCGACACTTGCTCAAGCAATGTCACAATTAATTGTCATAAATTTGTGACATTCTTACATTTTTGTCACTCATTTGCGGCACACTAACGTCGTACATGTTGGTTTTATGTTCAAAAATCAATTAATATTAGGATTAGAATTTATATTTATTAACAACATGTTTTAAGAATTTAAAGGGTCACACACAATAGGACAATCACTTGGGATAAGTTAGGGATTAATTTATATAAATTAATCAAAAAAACTTATTAAATAAATAAGATATGGGTCTTATGGCAATTACTGAAACTCATAGTCTTATATAAATAAGTCACAAACATAAGTTCTGTAATTAATTAGTTGGTAGTTTATAATCCAGAAAACTAGTCGTTATGCCTTGTGTATGTGTCTGAAGAATTGTTCATGTGGATATAATTAGAGGCTGGACACTTGAACAGTTTTTTGATCAAACTTCACCATGTGTTGATCGTGTTTGTTAAAGGTACATAATTCTGAACTTTTTATATTATTCATAGATTATTAAGTGATCTTAGTATAGAATCAGTCTGTGTTTATTCCGTTACGTTAGAATTGATTTACTTACAATATCAGAGCCACTCTTTAAATCTGTGTTTGATATTTGTGATATCTGATTTTCGTGGATGGTGATTTAGTATCACGTATGTATATTTTTGATTGAGAAGATTAATTTGAAGTGTTTAAATTAGTGCTTATGTTTCTGGTAGGAAAGAGTTCGAATTGGTCTACGAAAATTTGATTTTCGGAACCAGTCAAATCTGGAACCGATGGACCAAACCGGCTGGAATTGAATTTGATCGGTTTAGATCTTAGACCCAGTCGAGCAATGCTGCCATCAGTTTTTGAGCAGAAAAGTTTTGCTCAAACAAAATCAGGGCGGCAAGCAATAGGTACGGACTCGATTTGAATGGTTCAAGTCGGGAATCATTGCGGTCTAGATCAGTTTTTTGCCGAATTTTCTTGGCAGAGTGATCGACAGAATTTTGGCCATATCCGTTAATTCCCGACGGAGAAGAAATCGGCGTTCGACGCCAGTGCAAACGAACTAAAAAAGCCGGCGCTGTCTGGGGGATCAGATGCGGATTGACGCGACGCTGAGAACCTTGGCCGTTTCAATTGATGGCAAGATCAACGCGAACGCGGTCGGAAGCCACATCAAGTCGTCGAGGAGACTGAGTTTTCGAGGAGACTGAGTTTTTGACGACGGCCAGAATAGTTTTGGCCGGCTACGGGTTCGATGATTTCAATTCCACGAGCGGAAGAGTCCTGCCAATCGAATCCAATTACCGATGAGTCTGATTTTTCGACGGAAGCTTAATCGGAGTTCGGGTCGGCGGCGGCGGCTGCAATTTTTCTTTGCGTCAATTTCTGATGTTGAAGACGATGACGTCATATGAAGATGTCTACATGGAGGCGGTCGGGTTCAATGTACCCTAAAATCAAATTGGTGGTTTATTGCAGGCAAATTTACTTATTAATATCTGAAAAAAATTATGAAGAACAAAATAAGCTTAGGGTTTAAATTGTAGCCAAAAATAGCTTTCTCGTACTTCAAACACGCGAAAAAAACAAAATTCGCGTTTTGAAAACGCTAAAAATAATTTTTCGCGTTTTAGAAACGCGAAAAATAAGAAACCGTAATTAATTTAACTTAATCCTAATTAATTAATGGTAAAAGAATTGAATAAATATCAATTCGCGTTTTCAAAGCGCGAAAAAAATTAAAAAAATATTTTATTTAAATAAAAAAGAAAATAGGCATAAAAATATGATTCATTTAACTAGTTTAAAACGTTATAGGGAAATTGACTTCAAAAAATTATTAAATTTGAATAATGGTAACAGAAAATTTTAAAATTATAATTGTTAATCATTAAATTTTGAATAGAGCTATAAAGAGGAAAATTATATTGATAATTTTAATAATACGAAAATTAAATTTTGAATAAGAATATAATATTATAATTGATACTTATTAAATTAAATAGAGCTATACTAAATATAAATTATTAAAAGTATGATATAGTTATTATAATGTATTAAATTTTTAGAACATTATATAAAAAAATTTAATAATGATTATATTAAAAATTTTATTAAAAATGTAATCATTATTTTATAAAATAATTTTATATGAAAAATTTTCAATAATGATAATGACGTAATTTTATGATTTAATTAGATGTAATTTAATTTACAAATTGTTTTTATTAATTATGATGGTTTTAATATAAGAAAAAAGCTTAAAATAGGAATAAATTTTATTAAATATTTATTATAATTTACCAATGCTTAAGATGAAGCAATTATTGTCTCTTCTTCGGAAACCTCACAGGGGAGACAGCAAAAATGTCAAAGCAAGGACGCGGAGAATCGGCGGGTAACAAGTTTAGGATGTCTCTGGGTCTTCCAGTGGCTGCGACAGTGAATTGCACGACAACACCGGGGTAAAGAACCTTTACATCATTTCAGTGAAGGGAATGAAAGGTAGGCTCAACCGTCTCCCTTCTGATTGCGTCGATGACATGGTTATGGGCACCGTCAAGAAGGTTAAGCCCGATCTCAGTCAGAAAGAAGGTCATGCCCGCAGTCATTGTCCGCTAGCGCAAGCCATGGCGCCGAAAGAACGGTGTCTACATGTACGTTGAAAATAATGCTGGAGTGATTGTTAATCCCGAGGGAAAAATGAAAGGTTCTACAATCAATGGTCCCATTGGAAAGGAGTGTGATGATCTTTGGCCTCGGATTGCAAGTGCTGCCAATGCAATTGTTTAATGCACCGCATATTAATTTTGAAGAGAACTTTAGTTTACTGAATGTTTGTTTTAGGTATCTGGTACTATTCTTTTGTGGATGTGGTAATTTTAATAGACGGTTGGTATGTAAGAACTAAGAATTACATCTTTTGTTTGGATAAACTAAATACTTTGATTTTTTTTTTTTAAAAAAAAAGATGAAGCAACTATTAATTATGAAAAAAATATAAGAAAGTTTGAAGATGTGTTTTGATTTGATCGGCGAAGATGTGTTTTATAAATATTAATTATTGTATTTACGATGCCGGTGAAATCAAACTATTAAGAATATTAATACAAGTCATAACAAAATACTACAAGTCATAACAAAAGGTAAAAAAAATAAAACAAGTCATAACAAAAGGAAAAAGAACAGAAATGAACAAAAGGAAAAAAAAAATACAAGTCTAATAATACTACATAAGAAGTCTAGTACCCTACTTCTTTTTGGGCTTTTTAGCCCGAAAAAGGCTATAAGTCAATCTACCGGACTCCTTCGTCATTCTCTGGCCTTTACTCACAGCCAACGGTGGAGTCCCTAGAGTCTGACTCGATCCCTGCTCCTCATGGCGTTGATAACCCTGACCCTCAAACTGATCATCCTGGTCTGCATCCTCAGCCTCATCCTCAGCCTCATCTTCACCCTGACTCTCACGCTCACCTCCAGCTGGGTCATCAGCCTGATGCTGACCCGCAACACCCTCGAACATACTCGAAAGAAAGTTACTCGTGTAATGTATCGACTGGCTATCTAGCGAACTCTGCTGAAACCCAGAAAAGTCAATAAAAAAATCTCCAAACTGCGCTGAGAAGTCTGAGGGGAGGAAAACTGAGTGAAGGCAAAATGGGACTGCTGGTGCTGGGGAGACATAATCGGACGGTAAAACGCCTGTTGGGTCGGCGAAGAATGATGTGGAGACTGATGGGATGAATGATGTGGAGACTGATGGGCTGAATGCTGTCGAGAATAGAGTGGAGACTGATGTGGAGACTGATGGGATAAACCGCCAGTGAAGGGAATATGAGAATGCTGATGCTGGGAGGACTGATATGGCTGAGTGGATGTGATTGTCTCTTGCCCCCCACGCCCACGCTGAGACCTGCGCGAACGCCTCGGAGGTCTGGGTGGTGGATGTTGCTGGGTCAGGTCTATAGGTGCAAGTTCTTGACTCAAAATGTCATTAACCTCAACATGCCTATCGAGATCGTGACGTACAACATTCGTTGCATTGACGGATAACGCCCGCTCAGCAACCTGGGCAATCTCGCCTAAGCGATCATAACCAAAGGAGTCCGCGTCGAAAGTACGCTGGCCTATAATACTCAGACTACGAACGTCCTCCATCAATGTGGCCTGAAATTTTTATTAGAAAGAATCATAAATCGACAACAGTGTTAATAAAAAGAACCACATGGACTATAGGCTAAATACTCACCATGAGGCGCAAGGTCTCTGCAGAGCCGTGAAAACCCCTCGCATTTTAAGAGTCCGTTGGATACGTAACATACTTCACAGTAACCTGATGGTACCACAAGATATACTCCGGATCTGCGGAAGGCTCGCCAACATACTCATCATCAGTCCCCACAAGTTGGTCGTGGCGATCATTCCAAACCTGGAGATATATCCCTAGTTGTTGTAACCATCTCCTATCGAATCCTCCAAACGGCTTCCTCTTGAGGAGGCTAGTAATTTCCGCCGCAGTGAGAAGTAATGCGTCGCCGGGTATCCGCTGGTGATAACCAAATTGGCGAAATACCATACTGGGGTTGTGTGGTGCAACGACATCACCGCAGATGAGCCATATCTGAGATCGCTATATGCTCTGTCCCACAAGACAAACCCTGGCAATACGACCCAGAAGAGTCGTGTACGGCATCCATACAAACTGCAATAGTAATTAAGTAAGAGACGCGTAATTAAAAGTCTGAAACCGTTAAAAAAACGAATAAAACATAAGTTATACTAATTGAATAGAATACTAACATCAGACTCTGCGAGAACTGCAAGCTGATCCCGGTACGCGGCCAAATTGAACCGCGTGATACCTTGAACTTTTTTCTCACGGGACCACCTGCACAGAGAAAGTAACATTAAATTGAGACATGACAGTACAAATCACAATGTCAAAATTTACGAAGGTTTGATGTATAAGATTACCTCGTTGCCCAATGGACAACGAACTGCGACGTTTTTTTTTTAAAAAATATTACTAATATAAATTACAGAAACATCCAAACCAACATACTAACACAAATACAAATGCAAACTGATTCATCCTCTAAGGTTTACTACATGAATGTTCAAAACAACACAAAAATACGAACACTAACAGAATCATCACAACACACGATGTGGAAAATCATCACTACGCATCATCAGAATCATCAGAATTGATATTAGGCACACCACGAATTCCATATGGATCGTACAGTTTATCAATAGCGGTCCTGTCAGCAGGTGGATGAGAAAAAGGGCATTCCACAGCATCATGATCTAAACTTCCACATCCTGCGGAAACTCTCGCATATGGGCAAGCCCTGGCATTATGGCCCTGTAGCTTACATAAACTGCAAGTTTGGAGTCTTCACTGGCCAGATTTGCTTGTATAATCCATCACACCTTTTTTCCGATTCACACGCTTCCGACCCCGGCCAGCATGGTGGACAAGTTTAGTGTCATCTGGCCTGATCTGCCACGTTGCCTTTGGCCATGGTTCCATGATTGGGTTGAATTCTCCAGAAAACTGCTGGTACCATTGATGCGTAGTGTAACATGGATCAAAAAGTGGGAAGGGATCGTCACCTAGCTCACGGGCAACCCGAAGTGCATGGGAACAAGGAAATCTGAAAGTCTGCCACCTTCCGCAAGTGCACTCTCGATTTGCATACAGCACAACTTGCTTGTCCTCAGCCTTCCATGGTTGATTATCAGGTGCTATTGTAACCAATTCGTACTTCTGGTTTCTCTTGCTAAACTGGTTGACCTTTTGCCTCAATGATTTCTTCCGGGCCTTTTCATACAGTTTCATTGGCTTAGGAGGTAGAACATTCTGACATTTTTGGATCATATCAATGTTTGCCTGAAACAGATTGTTGCTTTTCTGAAAGGATGCTAGGATCAAAGCTGTGATCGGGAAGAATCTAGCACCTTTCAGCACATTATTGAAACTCTCTGAAATGTTAGTGGTCATTTCTCCCTAACGATGCCCTCCATCGTGTAAACAGGTCCATTTCTCAACACCCAGCTTCTGAAGCCAACGAGCAGCAGGCTCATTTTTTTCTTCTAATTTTTGCCACTCTGCCAAATACCTTGTCTTTTGCGTCGCTGAACCAATCATTTGACAGTTGCCTCCCAGTTTCTCCTTTCGAAAATGCCCAACCAAGTTTACTTTAACATGTTCTAGACAATACCGGTGGACTCCCATCTCTGGAAATTTTTGCAACATGATGTCCATGGCAGTAAGGATACCCTGATTTCGATCAGAGATAATACAGGTCTTCCTATCCTGTAGAACAAACTTTTTCAAATACTTCAAAAACCATTTCCAGCTGTCTATAGTCTCTTCGTCCACAAGAGCAAATGCGATGGGAACAATCGTGCCATTTGCGCACTTTATGCATGCCAAAATTAGTTTTCCTTTGTAGGATCCTCGCAGGTGAGTGGCATCGATGGTTATTACTGGCCAGTAAGCATGAAATAACTGTATAGATGGCCCAAATGCCCAGAAAGCATACCTACATACAAACCTTTGCGAGCTTCCTAAATTTTCCTTAAACTTGAATTGCACACAAGTGTCCGGGTTTGACATGAACAATGCATCGAGGAAGCTGGGCAGTTGTTGAAAATTACTTTCCCATGTACCATACAGAGCCTCAAGTGCTTTTCTTCTACCATGCCATGCCTTCTTGTAGCTACATTCGACTTGGTACATCTTCAAAACTTCTATTTGAATTTGGGCAACTGCAAAATCTAGATGTTTTCGCACATTTTGGGCAACCAGTCTAGCAATCATAGAAGACGTGACGTTTCGGGACTCGTTTCTCTTGTTTGCCCCAAGACAGTTGTGGGAATCGGACCATACCACCATTTTCCAAGTATCGGTGGCCTTCTGTAGCGAAACTCGCGCCTTCCATAGACAATCATAGCCGTGAAGACGCTCTTTCAGATATTTGGGTCCACAGGTCTCGCATTCGACATACCATGTTCGTTTAGAGCTCGTTTTCACCCGGAAAGTCCGACCATGTACCAAGTTCCATTCTCCCACTGCCGCTTGTGCCTCAGGCTTGTTGGCGAAATGTATATCAAGGTCTAGCGTCAACGGATTGCCATCCCACATTTGAATCCCATCATAATCTACTTCCTCTAAAGTCTTGTCCCATCCACTTATGTCGTCGAAAACATATGGGACTGAAGAAGATGACTCAAAATCAGTGTCGTCATCTGAGTCCTCAACCGATGGGACGTACTCATCATCACTGCTTTCGACACTCCCGCCATCTTCATCTTCATCTGCATCTTCATCTTTATCTTCATCTTCATCTCCATCTTCATTGCTTTCAACTGTTCTACCACCACTAGTGCTGGCACCAATATCCTGGACAGATGTACTTGCATAAACATGGCTTGTTCTCTCAACATTTTCAGGGTACAATTCTGGCCATTTATCAGCACAAAGATAAATGAACCGAACAGTATTATCATCATTAATGTGCACACGAGACCTTTTTCTTGACCTCTCCGTCCATACCAAAGAAAAATCAATATACAACCCTTCTCTATCAACTTCCATCACACCACATACCTTATCAACAAGTTCCGAGAAATCTAACATACTATCAATGATAAGATAACCGTCCGGCGCATCCCGCTGTACAGTGATAGTCCCATCAGGTTCAGTTGTATAAGTAGTATTCCAGTATACTTTCAGACGAACTGTCTCCGTGAAAGACATTTGCGGCCCTGCAAAATCAATTCCTACGAAATCAGAAAACTAGCATACATTTTGAATTTTAGTTTTGTGGAAACAGTATTTACCCCGTTTACAGATTTAATAATTTCAAAAGAACAACTATACGCCTGAATTTACAAATTCATTTCTATGCTAAAAATTAATATTAAATCTAAACCTTATGCCCGAATTACATAATTTATTCTTATGCTAAAAATATTCAAAAATTCAATATCATTATTATAATTTTATTTTATTTTACAGAAATCGATATACAATAATTTACAACGCTCATCTAATTTAACATTCTATTAACTAATATTTCTTTCAATTCACTTTATTAGCCTAATTAAAAAATCACCGTTAATTGACTAAATCACAATTATTTATTAACTAATAATAATGCGTAAATCATCCTGTGCTCACAATAAGGCATAAAAAAAGTATATATTTTCTATAACGAAATAAACTTACCTGAATGTTGAAAGAAATGAGACCTTTCACGGATTCAGGACTCAAATCAATCCTCTTTAACTTCGGAGCAACTTCTCAAATTGAAGGAAATGAGAGCTTTCACGGATTCAGTCAAGTCCTCCGGAGTGAAACTTAAAATCGGAGCTCAACAGAATGAAATAAGTTTAGGAAGAAAAATCGGAGCTCAACAGAATGGAAAAAGTTTGTGAAAAAATGCTGTTATTTTGCTTGGTTTGGTATATAAATCTTAAATTTCGTGTTTACAAAATGCGAATACACTCAAAGACTTATCATCAAAATACACGTGGAGCCGAACGAGTGGATGAGGAGATTTTCTGGATATTTTCGCGTTTTTAAAACGCTAAAATTATTTTTCGCGCTTTCAAAACGCTAGAAAACTTTTTTTCGCGTTTTCAAAACGCTAAGTTGTTATTCTCAAACCGCAATTTATTTAAAATTTAAAATTTATAGCTTTTCGCCTTTTTAAAACGCGAAAATAATTTTTCGCGTTTCTGAAACGCTATTTAGGTTTTTCGCGTTTCCAAAACGCGAAAAATAGTTCTCCTTTTTTAATTCAATTTTTTTTCTCCTTTCGTCCCGGTTGAATTTGGGAAAACATGATTAAAATGATTCGCGTTTCACAAACGCGAATTGTTAATCTAATTTTCTTGTTTCGCGTTTTGAAAGCGCAAGAACATTATATTTTTCCACAAAATAAATCTTACACATTTTTTATTCCACAATTTTGGGTTTGACTCACTCAAAAGTCAATCACCCGTTTATTGCATCATTGCCTCTCCGGAAAAGTTCCTGAAGTTTAAATATAGTACCCATTTGAAAAGTTGTTCTCGAAAGTATCCCACTGATGAAAAAAGTTTCAGATTTATAAAATTACCAGTAGTTTTGATTTATTTTGTGGACATTATTTACAAAATGATTTTATTTATTTTAATTATAAAATCATTGGAATTAGTTAATATAATATCGATTTGATTAAAATACTAATTGATTCAATATTAGTGAAATTTTACAAAGATGTGTAAATTTAGATGTGATCTAAATTTTTAAAGTTTTACTTATTTTATATGATAAACGGCAATTACTAAGTTTTGAAAAGAGTTTCAAAATAATTTGTTAAAATCCTTATATGATTGGGAATCAAATAAGGAGTTCTTTTAGATATTAAAATTATAAGTGATTATACTTTTATGGCAATTTCAATTCGATTGAAATTTAGTAGTTCATTATTTTTGAAAATTACTAAGTTATAAATTTGATTTATTTTAGTAAGGTTTTCAGTAGAAACTATACTTCATTTTTAATTTGATTAATTTTTGAAGCGTTACAAATACTATTGAAAAGTCAAATTCATTATTTCGTCAATGTCAACTAGATTGATATATGACATTTTATTTTAGAATTTTATGGGTTTTGAAAATATTTTATATTTTGATATGTTCCAATAATTTAATGAGATTGGATTCTTGGTGATATTTCAAAACTATATTCTAAAATATTATTCTTCAACAAAATCAAATGTTTGATTTGATGGTCTCTCGGAAACGCCAATACATACTTTTCGATATATTTCAAGAATTTATTTCTAATGTGATTAGAAATTGTTATACACGTAGATCCATGAATATATATGACTTGTGTCATTGTAATTATTTATTTATTATTTAATTACATATTTTTGTGTAATATTTTATTGAAGTTTTGCTCAATTAATTTGATTATTTGGATGCATGTTTTACATTCAATGTTATTAGTCCATTATTATAGATTAAGCAGTTGCTTTATTTCCTCCGTCCCGAAATAATTGTCCAATTTGGATTTTATTTGTAGTACAAGTTGAACTAAATGTGAAATTCGAAACTTAAACAAATAGTTTTGGGACAAAGGGAATATGTTTTACTGCCTAAGATACATGAAGATGAAATCAATACAGCAAAAGACTTGAAACCAGTTTATGAACACAGAATTACACAGTTAGAGAGAAGTTCCTTTTTCTTGTGAATTTTTTTTTTTTTTTTTTAGAATTATCATTTGGGTGGTCACAACTTTAAAAGTTACGGCTTCAATGACATCTATATCAATAGGCTTGATGAACAATATGAACTCATGTAAAATTAAGTAGATCATATATACATTATATTCAGACTTAATTACAAATAGCATCAGCAAAAAGGTGATAGCCGCTTTTTTATATTTTTGGTAAAATGACTCGTTACAGAATCAAAGTGACAGTGTTCAATTTGCTTATGATGATCTCACATTGCTCCAGCTCAGCTCAAGTATGTGCATGAGACGAATGAGAACTCTGCCAACTTAGCAAAGCTTACTTCAGCAGCACGTGACTCCTTTAGCTCAGCACCACCACACGATGCCGCCTTATGCAATCGACCTTGTAACAGAGGAAGATTTTGGACTGATCCCTTGCCATGTCATCAATCCCTTGCCACGTGACTCCTTTAGGTCAATGTACAAGGTGATTTATAGCCATTAGATCCAGCTGTGTTAGTTTACTTTCTGTAAATGCAAAGTGTATATATAGAGATAAAAGCTGTACAGAATTTTTTTGACTTGATTCAACATACAGAATATCATTCAAGAAATACGTGTTCTTCAAGTTTGTGATAGTTCTCCGAAACCCTAACTTTTCTACATTTCTTGATTCCTAAAATGGATTCTCAGCTTTCTTATTATGGTATCAGAGCAGGTTGATTCCTGCTTTGAATTCCGCTGCCGTAATCGAAGCTTTACCTGATTCTTGATTTGAGATTGATATTTTTCGTTCTGTTTGTTTTCGATTTCTGAAAGGTTCTTAGAATTTTTTTTCTGCGAATTTGATATTGTTGTTCAATACTGAGAAGAAGAATGGAGAATAGACATCAGAATCATGGAGATTTAGATGAATTGATTGATATTTAGCTGCAAGTTCATGGATCGGAGAATCCAGGGTCACCGCTTGTATCTGTGTTGTTAAATGAGAGGAATTACCGAATTTGGAGAGGTGTTATGTTATCAACATTGGAAGCTAAGATGAAAGACGGATTTGTCACCGGAGCTCTTGCTTAGCCGCCGGAAAATTCACCGCTGTATATCAGATGGAAACAGGCAAACAGTATGGTATGTTCTTTGATCAAAAGCTCAATATCTCCTGAGATTGCAAATACATTTTCTTTCATATATGATGCTAGACTGTTATGGAAAGATATTGCTGAGCAGTATGGAACCACGAATTTGCCACAATTGTATGAGCTTAAGCGAGAAATTGGAATGACTAGACAGGGGAATTTATCAATTGCAGCTTATTATGGTCGATTGAAACAAGTAGGGGATCAATATGCTCAGTCGAGGCCTATTCCTAATACTGGTAATGAATTAATGATTACTAGAGAATCAGCTGATAAGGCTATGGAATTCTTGATGGGATTAAATGAGGAATATGAACGTGACAGAAGGAACATTTTGTTTCGGGAACCACTGCCAACAGTCAATAAGATCTACAACATGATTTTGAATTCAGAAAAGAGTGTGCAACTAAGTACTAGTATGTCTATCAGCAATGAAAATGTGGCCATGGCAGTGAAGGGAACTGAATTTAGTAAGCCAGATGAAAAGATGCAAGAACAAACTGCTCTAGTTGCATAGACACCTGATTGGAGAAGGCAGAGAGGAGGTCAAAGAGGTCCAACTTAGTAGAGAAGGGATAAGAGCAAATTGTTCTGCACGCATTGCCAAAAACCAGGTCATCTGAAAGAGGAATGTTTCAAAATGGTTGGATCGCCAGAATGGTGGGATGATTACAAAAAGAGGCTTCAACAGAAGAATGCTACTGCTGGACCAAGAGCTCATGCAGTAACTATGGGAGAGACACCTCTGAAAGGCAATTTTGATAATGCTGACAATCTACAAGTGGTGATCAACAGTGCAATTTAGAGGAAAGTTGATATAATTCTCAAAGGAAAAGCACCAAAGCAAGGAAGCTCAAAATCCATGGTGAATATGGCCTACTACAATGATTTCGCAGGTAGTTCTGGTTTGACCAAACTTCGTACTTTGTCTTATGATTGTATAATGCTTGGTTCTTGGATTTCTGACAGTGGAGCCACTAGACATATGCACATTTCCATTTATTTTATGAAAAACATCAAAACCATGCATAATTTTACCCCTGTATGGCTTCCAGATGGAAGCATTAGTTCAGTAACTCACATAGGTGATGTTGAACTTTCTGATACAGTCACATTGTCTTCTTGCTTATTACTTCCTAAGTTTAAGTATAACCTCTTATCTATCAGGCAATTAGCCAAAGACAATCAGCTATATTTCCAATTTTTTGCTGACATTTGCTTGCTATAGGACCTTAAAACCAACAAGGTTCTAGCAACATGCAGAATCATTCAAGATCTTTACATCCTCAACACTTATTCATTCACAGCAAAAGCCATCCAACAGTCATATACTCACTTTGCAGCTTTTATGCTTCACCTTCATCAGCCATCACATACATCATCAGCCAC